ACCCCCCCCCCCCAAAAAAGGAAACTTTATGTTTTAAGAAATAGTGCTAGATTCTAGGGGTCCTTTGACTAGAAAGTGCTGCTCTTTAACTGAATTTGCTGGGCTGTATCACTGGGATTATCATAACATGTTTTCTGATGGTGGGAGGAGAATCCCATTGTATTTATCAGGGCCCTATAAAACTTTGTGTCTTGATTGTACAAGTAATGTTTAGATGGTTTACAGAAATATAGCAGAAGAGTTGCTGCTAGCTAGTCTCACTTTGATTCATTTGGAACCTAGCTTGCCACTGAATGAAAAGTCCAAAATTCATTCAGACTACTAAGTACTAGCCAGTGATTTGTCTGAGTGAGTGTACAAAGGTGAGCACAAGCAAAAAAGGTCCTCTCTCAAGGAATTATCAGAGTGGGAGGTGAGGACAGAGATGATAAATCAGCAAATCTGATCTTGATTGAATGCTAGAGAAAATGAGTGAAAGACTAGAACATGTACCTGGAATGCAGTGGAGGGAGACCTTCCTGAGGTGATGCTTAAACAGAACTTTAAACGAAAGGGAGCCAGCCATGCAAAGATAAAGGGAGGGCTCATGGAGGTTTAGGGAACAGCTTGTGCAGAAACTTAGTGGAATGGACTTGGCAAGTTCTAGGAAATGGGAGAAGAGAGTGCGGTGTGGTGTAGGTTTAGGGAGTAAAAGGTTGAATGAAATAGGGTCAGAAGACTGGAGTTGGGACTCATATTAGGTAGACAAAAGATGAGTAAGGAGGAGGAGAAACAGAAATAGTCTTTTTGATTCATTCTGTTGCCCTTCCTAGAGTGTTTATCATTATTTTTGCACGTTCTTTTGGACTGTTAGAGACAAAAGCAGCTCACCCAGCTGAGAGTAGTAGAGGAGGTTTAGCGGTGGCCATTTGGGCTTTGTGTTTAGAAATAAGCAGGATGTTCAATTGAAGGCACACCTATTTCCACAAAATATTTTGCTGTATATGCATAATAAGTACTCTGAATGTGTGCTAGTATCTACGCGTTCCATCTTGGTGTAAACTTAAGGTTAAAAAATTGGCAATCTTCCTTCCTTCCTTCCTTCCTTCCTTCCTTCCTTCCTTCCTTCCTTCCTTTCTTTCTTTCTTTCTTTCTTTCTTTCTTTCTTTTCCTTTGTTGTTGTTCTGTGGGTAGGCAGCACTTGTGTTGCAATAGTTCTGCACTTGCTTTGGCCTCCTCATGAGTAATAATATTCCACTGAGAGGTAGGTTGGTACTAAGAGTTCACTCTGGATTTCATTAGGTAAGGACTATTGTAGGGTCCATTTCCACTATGTCACCATCTTTGGGTTGGCATGTAACTCAGGGATGTAACCTACTTTTGCCTTCAGTTGGGTGCATTCATCTCCAGTTCAACCTTATCTTCAACAGATTGTCCACTTGAGAGGCCTTATCAAGATATTGCTTGGATTTGGCCCTCTTGAGCTGCATCACAGTAGGCTAAAATGAAAAGAGTATTTTTCTCCTCTTCTCAACCTCACAAAAGTGACTGGAGCATTCTTTGAGTGAATCAGTCTTTAGAGCTGTGTAGTTGAGAGACACAACTGTTGCTTAGACTGTTTGTAGTAAACCCAGTCTTAAAATGTTAAGTGAAACCTTTCGGTGTTTGGTAAAGACAACTCAAACAGTAGACCTGTCACTTGGGTTATCTTTTAGTACTCTCCTACTACCTGCAGGTGGCTCTTCAGAACTAACTGGGTAGAGCTTTCTGTGTTGTCCTCAGGTAAGGGAGGGTGCAGCTTGTTTGAATGCAAACAGCAGATCTTCGTTTGCAGGTAAATGACTAGTGTGAACCCTTAGGATGTGGCATGTATCTAAGAGCTTGACCTTGACTTTGCTATTGCTGGGCAGACTGCTCTATTTGGTGTTAAGCAGTCTACTATCCCTCTTCATTTCAGTGATTTATTACAATTCACATATGAAAATACCATCTAGGCTGACATTTCATCAGCCAGTTTGTAGATTAACTTTTGAAAGGGAATAGATATAAGTGGGGGCGTTGGGGGTGGGGTATTGGGGTGTGGGGGACTTGAACATTTGGAGAAGCCCTTAAAACCTTACATTGACTGCTAATTGTGTTTGGGAAATGAATCTAAATCTACGTGAATTTTGAGTTTTGGAGCTGAATTGGCCTTTTGACCTAAGTCAGTTTGTTTCTTAGAGTTTGAGGAATTTTGAACACATTCTAATTAAAAGTGAAAACCTAAGGAACCAGTTGGTGAAACTTGCCCTTGGATTTGTGGGTAGGTTGTTTTTCATTTCAGTAGCTGGTTTAAAGTTAATCTGAGTTTACTACTGTCTTGCTATGTGTTCTGTAGTGAGGAGAGTTGATTGTACACTGGCTGCCAGTTGTTTTGAGGTAAAGAAGTAGTAACTCAGATCGAAACAGTAGTAATTATGTGGTAACTCCTGTTTCCCTTCCTCGATAACTTACAATTACTCTTTGTGTCTGTTTACAGACATTCATACCAGTGTACCAGGATCGGTTCTACCTAATGTTGGTACAATATTCTTAGCTCTTCCCATAACAGACCAGGTTGATTGAGTTAATGTCCTTTAGTTCAAATCTAGTTTTACTAGTTCTTGTACCTATTTTTCTGGGCAATGGAAGGTTTTATTTTTGGGGGAGTCAAAAGGAGATTTCAAGTGGAGATAACACCAAAAGTGATACAAACTGATTCTTTGGAGTTATGCTATATTAAAAGAGGGAACATGCCCAGTGTTTAAGATACATACAGATGAGACCTTATTTAAACACCATACATTGGAACTTGTGGATGATGAATTCTGCATCCTTGAGAGTTTGGCCCTGCCTAAGTCTTTGAGTTGTGAGTTGAATTGTTGGGTTTGGGGCTAAGATACAGCATAGGAACCTAGGTTGTACAGCAGTGTAAGCATCATTGGTAAACATCATCATGTGTCCATGTCCCGTCCCTGTCCAGTTCCTGTTCTACCCCCTTCCTCCCCTCCCATTATGCATTGCTGAAACATTCAACCTCAGTTCCTGGTAACTAGCAATAATGCTGTCACTGAGACCTTTAGATCCAGCCCAGCTCTGATGACTGACAGGTCTCTGATGGCACTCTGCAGAGAGCAGGACTTGGTTTTCAAGGAGCATTTAGCATCTTGTAGCCACTGTTGCTCTTTCTGCCTGTTGGTCCAGGAGACTGTGTGTTGGGGAGATCTGCCCTGTTTTAGTAATCACAGCATTTACTGTATTTAAAGCAGTTAATTCGACTCAATCTAGTATGGGAAGAAGCAAGAAAGACTCAGACCCCTGCAAAAATCTTAGAATGTCTGGTGTAGCTCTGACTTGGCCTGGAACCCTGTGTAGACTAGGCTGTCCTGGAATCATGGGGATCTACCTGTCTCTGCCTCCTGAGGACTGGGATTGAAAAAAGCATGTACCACATGTCCACCACCATGCCCCCCCCCCCTT